CTGTCGTCGACATTGACGTTTCCAATGATATTCGGTGAAACCGTGTCGAAGACATCGAGGACAAGGAGTCGGCGGTATGTCATACTTACGATTGTCTTTACGATTTATGTGATTGTTTTCGGTGACAATACCGACTTTTTTGACTGTCATATGTGCGACTTTCGGTTTATTCGAGATATGTCGTTGACTTCGCAGGCGCACAGTTGTCTTCATTTCTGCGATGTCGAGTCCAACGAGAACATCGTACGCGATATCCATTACGTGAATCGTTACGTATTCGGTGTGTCCGTCCATTTGAATCTTAACGTTGACGACACCGAGTGTATACTTATCGCCGGCGATGGTACCTACTTTGGTCTTATGTCGCGCGTCGGGTCGGAGTTTCATTTGTTTTGCGACATCCTTCGATAAGATAGTAATGTCGGCACCATTATCGATGAAAGCTCTTACGGGTTTGTCATTTATACGTATGTCTCGATATCGTTCAGTATGCGAGACAGCGTTTACCACTGGATCGGGATTTATCGGTTCTGTTCTCGGACATACGCGCATCCAGTGATATTCGGTTATGCCGTGTCGTCGGCATCGTGGACATGGAGTCAGTGGCCTATCATTGTTACATTTCTGTCGCTTTTTCCAATGATTACGTTTCGGTTGGCCGTCTTCATCGTCGATAGCGTTAACGTTAAAACTTTTATTTCTTTTTCGTGTCTCTTCGACGAGAAGCGCTATCTGTAGCCATTCTTGAGGCGTTGTTGGTCGTTGACAGGCAATCAGCGGCCTGTAGTAGTCGGGCATACCTTTGGTTAATAGACCTATCTGTTGGTCGTCGGAGGCGCGCGCTTCATCCAGAAGGCGGCGCATTTCGTGATAGTACGTGAGTACGCTTTCATTAGCTTTGAGTTTTCGGTCGGAGGCTTCAACAAGACCGTGACCAACCATACGACCAAAACGCGCAATCATAAGAGATCGGCATTCGGCCCAGGTCAGGTTTGGAAGTTTTCGGGCGACTTCACGACAATACCAACTGAAGGCATCGCCGGTCAAGTGCTTGGCGAGCGCAAGCAGCCTCTCGTAGTCGTTATAAGCGTATGTCAATGCGGTGAAGCCATCGAGCCATTCGTCGATAGGAGTTACGGAGGAACCGCCTATAAATGGTTCACATAATTTCGATGCGTGTTTTACGGTACTATGCGGTCCTGTTGTTAAGGTATCGGCATCGGAGTCCAATCTCTGTACGCTTGTAGTCGATAAACTCGATGCCGTATTGCGATTGTTAATCACATTTCGTGCGGCGGCGGCCACTTGTGCAGCTCTGGTCAGCGTTGCCAGACGTTGTGCTAACCCATCCTGTGTCGGGTCGTTAGTCATATCGCGGGTCAATGCTTCCAAGTCTGAAGCGATTGACGACAAGTCTTCATTCGTGTCTTCGGAAATCGGGTTGAGTCCGTTCGCACCCGTCGTTACGTTCAGGTCGTTACTGAACGGCGGTAGTGTTCGGCCACTACGTAACTGTTGAGACATCGTTGTCTTCGTATCGTTTTTCTAAAACGCTTTATTAACGAAAAAACCGTTGAATCGATGAGAGCCGTTAAGGCGACAAAAAACCGTTGTTTTTTGAATTCAAAAGTGTCGGTGAGTAGGTCGTCGAAGTCGATTTACTTTCGATATCCGCGTGGTAAGTATCTCAGTCGACTGCGCCAATTGAGTTGAGTGGCCGTTGATCAGGCGGCCAATAACTCGGGTTCGGTTAAGTATACGAAATAAGTACACGTTTTTATATGAAAGCAAACGATTTTATTAAATATAAAATATGCGACTAAACGCTGTGAAAGCTAAACGACTACTACTGTTGCGGAAACGGTAGAGTCGTTGAAATAATGCAATGCTGCCGCTTATGATGTTGTGTTGAGCGCCAGCTGTTAACACAAAATATTGTATATAATTATAAAAATTTTTCATTTTATTTATTTCATAATTAAATTATATAATTATTGATTTTTCAAATTTATTCATATTGTATTATTGTATATTTATACTTGTATTATACAGTAACTCAATAAAATTTTTAGCATTTCTACTATAAATAACAATAATATTTATATYTAAAATAACTTAATATTATAAATTATAATTATATAAAAATTAAATATAACATTGTATATTTAAAAATAACAACAATAAAATAACAATTAAAAAATAATTTTATTCAAATACTGTATATATATATATATATATATATATATATATATATATATAAATTACACACAAATAATATCGGTAGTAATTGTTTTTTTTTATAAATTAGTATATGAATTCAATTGCTAATAATAATATGATATATWATTATTAAAATAAAAAAGTTCAACAAACAGTGTCTGGTTAGTTAATCGATATAAATTATATAATTTTAATTTTAATTATTTATTTTTTATATCCTATAACTTATAAATGATAATTAAGCTAAAATATAATAATAAATTATATTCCATAACTATTATTATTTTATACYACATTTACATATTAATAAAATACTACCGGTAAACACTATGACCTGGAATAAACACAAATCAAATATATAGAGAGTATAGAAAATGCAATCATAAATAATTTCAATTACATTATTATAATACTTGTATTGACTGTGTGTTTGATTAAATGACTACTCTTTTAATTAGATATTTTGATTTTAATAGATTAATAAAACTTGTAATAAACATGTAGTTAATTAGATGTTTTGTAAAAATGAGAACGGTAAAATTATTATATATCTATATGACACTGATACTATTTGTAATCTTTTATTACAAATTAATTATTTATTAACTTTTATAATTTAATGTTTTATAGAATTTATTATTTAATTACTAAAATTAATTATTAAATAGTAATTATATTTTAATTTCTATCTATTTCTATAGTTTTTTTTGTTTTTCCTATTTTGCAAACTTTTTTTTGCTAAAACTAATTTTATAACAAAAAATAGGCGTTATTTGTCTTTATAAATGGTGTGGTTTTTTAAAACTATTTTTTAATTTTTTTTATCAATTGATATATACTAGTAATAATCTTTATGTAATTTCAGTAAAAATCAAAATATAATATAAATATATAAAATGATTATAATATATAAAATGATTATAATATATAAAATTATCTAAATATTTATTTATTATTCAATTAAGTTTTAAAAAATTCACTATTAATTATATTAATTTATTTCTAAAAATTAAATAAACTTTTACTTGTTTTTAAATTTATTTTATTAGTTCAAAAATCTTATTCAGATTAGTAATACATGAAGTAAACTAATTTTAATATTATAATGTAATGTTATGATTATAATAGTATTATATATTGAAATACTAAAATATAATAATAAATTATAAATAAAGAACTTATAAATGAAAAAATCAAATCAAWTCAATTCAATGACCAAAATGTTTATTCTGTTTGTTTGTCTCCTTCGGTGATAGCGATGGGAACCACACGTTCAACACCACTGATTGGTGGCAACTGTTCTTTCTTAGCCTCAATAGTCAGCACACCATTCGGCTTAAGACTTGATATCACGTCATCAGGTTTACAGCCATCGGGCAAAGTGTACCGTCGGGTGAACTCTCGTGCAATCCATCCGTGATTATCACTTCTTTCTTCATGTTTGCCATGAATTTGAATACTATTGCCAATAGTCTTGACTTCAATTTCTTCGGGTTTGAAATGACTGACGTCTAACTTTACCGAAAAGTTATCGCCGGTGTTGGCCACTTGTGATGATCCAGAAATTTGATTCAATTGACTCATTGATCGGTTCCAGTGGTCGTCCAATTCATGTAAATCCAAATCAAACAACCTCTGCGGCCAATCAAACAAATGTTGATTTCGGCGACAAACAGATGAACGATACGGCAAATATATCAAAGACATTATTATTTAATTGCAATTAATATAATCACAAATTCAATGATAAATACAGTATTATTGTTATTATATAGCTTTTAGAGAGTACTAAAAGTTTTGTAGTTTTACTGAAAACTTGTTTCAATTGATACTCGCATTGCTTTCACTGCAAGACTTATATAGTGTTTTGCAGTGAAACCAGAATTTTCTAGAAATGCATAGAAAAGTCTAGACTTTGATTGTATGTATTGTACGCACACTTCACTGCTTAACGTTGACTGAGTTCTCGATATTTCTCTGTTCAAACATACTATGCATTTGACATACAATACAGTATATTGAGAGCTCAGGTATGTATTAATTATCAGTTAAACYATATAATATTGATAAATAATATTATATTAAAAAAATGTTTTTATTTACTATAATACAAATTTTATTAAAATAAATGCAATGCAATTTATAACAATAATTACTTAATTTTTTTGTAATAATATTTATAAACATTGATTTAAAATATAGATATTATATACAAGATTTACAATATTATAACTAAGTTTTGTTATATAAAGTATATAAACTCATAAATTATAATTAAAAATATTATTATATTGCCTTTCAGTGATTATTTACAATAGAAATCAATGAAATGTTTTTTATTCAGTCAATACAAACAAATTTGTTATTCAGTTTCAATTTTGAAACTTTCGGTAAATATTTTAACTTATAAATGATATTAATAAATATATGCCAATAATAGGCCACTAATTGAACACACAATCATCTGATGATTAAATTACATCTAATAATTTCGTTTATATAGTAAACGACAAAAAAAGTAAATAAATCAAAATACAATAAAAGTTTATATTAAAATATATTAATTTAATAAATTATATTAATTTTTAAAAGTTAATTTTATTAATTTTATCAGAATATTAATTACATATTAATAAATTTAATATTATATTATAATAGAGGATTATTAATTCAAAAAATATATCAGATTAGTAATCAGTAAACTAATTTTAATATTATAAAGTAATAAAGTATATGTTATTATTTGTTATTATTATTAATAGTTAAACAAATTATAGTTTTAAATCAATTGAATAATTGATAAACAAATCAACCAAAAAAACAAATTTATTGTTTGTCTCCTTCGGTGATAGCGATGGGAACCACACGTTCAACACCACTGATTGGTGGCAACTGTTCTTTCTTGGCCTCAATAGTCAGCACACCATTCGGCTTAAGACTCGACATCACTTCCTCGGCTTTGCAGCCATCGGGCAAAGCGTACCGTCGGGTGAACTCTCGTGCAATCCATCCGTGACTATCACTTCTTTCTTCGTGTTTGCCATGAATTTGAATACTATTGCCAATAGTCTTGACTTCAATTTCTTCGGGTTTGAAATGACTAACGTCTAACTTTACCGAAAACTTATCGCCAGTATTGGCCACTTGTGATGATCCAGAAATTTGATTCAATTGACTCATTGATCGGTTCCAGTGGTCGTCCAATTCATTTAAATCCAAATCAAACAAACTCTGCGGCCAATCAAACAAATGTTGATTTCGGCGAAAAACAGACGAGCGATACGGCAAAAACAGATTCAAAGCCATTATTATTTAATTGCAATAATTATAATCACAAATTCAATGTATTATTGTTGTGGATATGTATCAAAAGTATTATTGTTATATAGCTTTTATAGTGTACTAAAAGTTTTGTAGTTTAACAGAAAATTTGTTTCAATCGATACTCGCATTGCTTTTACTGCAAGACTTATATAGTGTTTTGCAGTGAAACCAGAATTTTCTAGAAATGTATAGAAAAGTTAACGTTTTAATTGTATGTATTGTACGCACACTTCACTGCTTAACCTTCACTGAGTTCTCGATATTTCTTTGCCTAACATACCATACATTTGACTGCAAAGCGGTATTCAAAGCATTGAAACGCCGATAGACTTCACGAACATTCCGGTGCTTTCGCTAACAAATCACAAAATACTATATATTGAGAGCTCAGGTATGCATTGCATTGCAGTTAAAAAGTTTTATCTTAATATTAATATAACTTTGAAAACAGTTATTTCAAAACTTTTTTTTAAAAGTAATTGATTTATATATCTATATTTGTAAACAATTACTGTATTAAAAGACAGAAATGTTTGTCAATTTATTAGTTCCGTATAAACGCCGATACACTGACTGTTGGGATGATTTGTTTTCGGTGGACATCAATGATTGGTTTGATGTCAATGAAAGAGTAACTCCGAAAAAGAGAGTCAAACGTTTAGCGGTCGATGACCTGAAACCAAACACTACATCATTACAAGTAATGGCTAACAATGACAACAAGTTTATGGTTCGTCTCGATTGTAATCATTTCCGACCCGAAGAGCTTGAGGTCAAAACTAATGGCAAATTTGTTACAATTCACGGCAAACACGAGGAAAGAGAGGACAATAACGGATGGATTGCCCGTGAGTTTACCCGACGGTACGCATTGCCTGACAATTGCGACGACTCTACTATCACATCGAATATTAACCCGAAAGGTGTCCTCACTATTGAAGCCATGAAAAAGTCGAAAGACATCGGAAAAAATCAACGAAATATTTCGGTTAATGTCATCAATGATACTGAAGAAGACAATGGCTATGAAAGCGAAGACAACATTAAAAACAACAACAACAATAACTTGAAGACTACAACAATAACCAAAGTCGAGGAATAAATTACTAATAATTTATTATTTTAAAAATATTTTATATAATTATAATAATTACTTAATTTTTCATTTTATTTATTTCATAATTAAATTATAAGATTATTGATATTTACTCATATTGTATATATAATAACAAAATAAAACATATTAGAAAAGAAATAAATATTTTTTTTAAATGTTGTTTTAAATAAATTTATGTAAAACAATAATTTGTTTATTTCTTTAATAATTAACTAAATTTTATTCATATATTACACACAAATACTCTAAATATCGGTTGTAATTGTTTTTAATAAAAATATTTTCAATGAATTCAATTGTTGATAACGAGAAATATGATTTGATATTATAAATTCAAAGTTTTCAAACAAACAGTTAGTGTTAGTGTCAGTCAATCAATTGGTCAAACAATCGGTCAAACAGTCGGTCAAACAGTCGGTCAAACAGTCGGTCAGCCATTAGGGTAACAACCAGAAGAACAAGAAGAAGAACAGATAGTAGTAGTAATACATAGTCTTTGTTGTTGACCACACAGTCAGTCATACTGTACTAACAAGAAGAGAGACCACAGCCATATCAACAAACAAAAGAGACAAACAATGGTTTCATCAGATTTTTACAAACAAAACAGTGACACAAGATTTCTATTGCATTTTGTGACCAGAAAATCAATCGACAGGTTTGGTATGTGTTTGTGCGGTATTGTCACTGTCTACTGTCTGTACAAACATCTTGATGGACATCCGATGCCAGTGGATCCGACAAAAGGATGGCAAGTGTGACGACGACGACAAGGCCAACGACGTCGGTGGTGGTGATGATGGTGTGTCTGTCCTATCATTCTTCTAGTACTTGTAGTAGTAGTAGTGGTGGTTAATAGAGAGCCACAAAAAAAACTCAAGAAGTAATTATCTGAAACATTTCAAATGATATTTCAATCAAATAAAAAAAACCATTTGTTTAGAAAACAATTGATTTTGAATTTATTGTTTTTTTGTTGTTGATTACAATTTTACTTTTTTAAATTACTAATTAATATATAATTTAAAAATATATTTATATAAAAATTTTTGGCTATAATTAGAACTTATTATAAAATTTTTTTTATAGATTAGTTTCTTAGTTAATCTTATTTATTAAAATAACTAAAAAATAAATAAATAAAGTTTAGATGAGTATTATGAGATCAAATTATCAACTAAGTTGATATAAATTATGAATATTATATAAATATACATTAAATTAGTTGATTATTATTTGAGCAAAAATTGTTTTTTTTCAAAAAATTATAAATTTAATTTTTCCGAATATACAGTATAAACTAATTAATACAAAACAATTTAATATATATATATATAGCAATAGCAAATATAATCTATCGTTTTAATTTTATATAAAATTTACAATATTATATACTACGGTATAAGTACAGTAACAATTGATATTGTTTTGAGAAATTATATAACATTAATATTATTATTATTATTACATATATTTATGCTAATTATTGATTGTATAATCAGATCTTTGAACTTATTTCTAAACTTGAAAGACATCGACAATCAAGACTAACAAACAAAATTAAAAAATAAAATAAAATATATTTATTATAACTTTTCATTTCAAATTTCAGTTCAATTCGGGTGACAAATATTGATCTAATATTTTGAAAAATAAATATAATAAAAAAAACAAATAAAAACTTTTAATAATAAACAACTCTATTAATAAAAAGTAAAACATATAAATCAGAAAAAAATTATTATTGTATATTTTGCTTACCGTAATAGTCACACACATATAGACAGACATACATAGAAATACAGTCAATACAATACTACGGTAAGTATAATAATACTTGTGAAATGTAAAACTAAAAAAACAAAAAAAAAAACTAAATACAACAAAAAATAATTACCAGTAAATCATTAAATACTGAGAAAGATTTTACAGTATAGTATATAAGGCAGTCATACAATCATATATAATAAGTTAAAATTTATTTTTAAAAAGGGAAAGTCATACCCTTTTTGTTTTGTTTTGTTTGTTTAATGTCTGTCCACTGTTTCACTTAACGGGTCGGTAAATTCAAATGGACGACAAAAATTTGTAGGCATTTTCGTAGAGCGAAAAATGAAAAGCCGTAACCAGTGCGGCCTTCACTAGACTAGGAGTTAGACCCTTATAGAAGGCAAGCATCCGTTCCTGGCGTAYAATCTGAACAATACAGTCGACCAGACCTTTATAGGTGGCCACTGCGCCGAAACCGCGACGCGAATTCTGAAAACCTTCGACTTGTAGTCGTTTTTTAATCAAATCAAGCGGATAGACAGTCAGTTTGGCTAACAGTCCGGAAATGGCACCGCAGACAAAGGTTTTCTCAAAATGTATCCACGAGTTGTGTGTCTGATGATCGGGATCGTCATCTTCGGTTAGTTTTATCAATTTGTTTATCGAACTCTTTTCGGATATGTTATCAAATAGATTGTAGACCGTATTGTAGACCGTAAACTGCATRCCAGTGTACGGTGCAATCTGGACGAGTGTCGGAACCAAACCGCGAAACAGTCCGCGTAGACCTTCGCGGCCAACAATCATGCGAAAGGCGTGCGGTGTTGAGCGATAAGTACGCGGTTCGGACTGCGCTATCAAACGCGTTCGGATCACATCTAGTGGATGGGCGGCCAGTGTGGCACTGAAGCCGGCCATCGATCCGCAGAGAAAGTGTACGGTGTGTTGATGTCGGCGAGCAAATTCCCGTTGGCGGTCACTGTCCATAAGCCACGAACGATTCATGGCTTCGGTGTACAACTCGAACGATGAAAACTGTATCATACCGTAGACGGCGGACAACGCTTGGGCACAGAGATGGGCCTTCCAGAGGGCTCGGAAACCTTCTTCGGCTACAATTGTGCGGACGGCGTGCGGTATCGACCGGTATTTCGATGATACACTGTGTCGGCGAATCGGTTCCAGTTGTAATTGAAATCGTATTTTAATGATATCCARCGGTTGACAAATAAAACGAGTGGCGCAACCGCTAACAGCACCGGCAGTCGCGTGACGCCACGTAACGCCCGACGGTTGCCACTTCTTGTCCGGACGTGTCTTAGCCGACGGATTGAAACCAATCATTGTTTAGTTTGTATGACTACTACTACTACTACTACAATAACAAGTGGTCAGTTCAACGGCTAATGTCGATATCACACGGCTTTTCAATTTGTTTGTCACCACTTTTGTTGACCAAATCTTCGGTAAATGCGRTGGACATCAGTGACCACTCTTCTCTCAATCTCTCTCTCGATTGCAAATCTTGTTGTTGTTGTTGTGGATCAGTTCATTTGATTTATTAATATATGGATAATATGTTATGTTATATAATATATCAGTGATTATCCATATGATTACAAATTCAATAAAAAATAATTATTTTAATTTTATATTCAATTGTTTTCAAGTGATAATAAACATATAGTAAAAGTCAATAATAATTATAAATAAAATGTTTTCAAATTAATTTTAACTATAAGGCGTTGTTCACATATTATACTTGATCGGCCAAAGCGAACTTTTTGCGAACGAGGGGGAGGGGGGGGGTAAAAGTCTATTCGAAATGAATTTAAGGGGGTAAACTTAATCCTTTGATAAACGATTTAATAACTAATTTTGAATAAATATATGACTTTTGAATAATATTAATTTATTTTATTATTTGATTATTTTAAAAGTGAAAATAATTTTATAAAATATTCATTTAAATGATGGGGGGAGTTAAGGACCTAAAAGTCAATAATAATTATAAATAAAATGTTTTCAAATGTGTTTTTGAATTTCAATGCCATTKACTATAATATACTGTAATAATTACAGTWCAGTACAGTAATAGACATTGACAGTGTATTAAAAAAACTGTTTAATTATATTCAAAACCAAAACAACAATGGCCGCCCACTAACACAGTAGTGTATGTATATATGCGCGCAATATTAGTGTTTAATGCTTAAAGTAGCAGAGTTTTACAAAGCATTATTAGTTATTATACATACTAGCTTATTTGTATGTATATATATTAAGTGTAATCTATGATAAATCTATGTGCTTGTGTGGTGCGTCTACTATTGTTTTGGTATTGAATATAATTGAACAGTTTTACTATATCAGTACTACTGATTCATTAGTGATTGTATTGTTATCTATTGGCTAAACATAACATTTATTATTATTATATTATTATTATTATTAAGTATAAAATATTTTCAATAGACTTCATAATATTATTAAACAATTATTATTACAGTAATAGGATATACAGTTTACATAAAATATTAAAAACACATATTATTATTATTATTATAAATATTTATAGTATCATTACTATACTACCTGTACTATACAGTGTACAATATAAGCAAATATCTAATATACTGTAATTAATAATTAGTTAAAAACTTTTTAAAATTTAATTTGCAATATATTAAACATCCCCCACAAATAAATACAGTGTTATTATTATTATTATTATTGTTATTAAAAATCATTGCATAAAAATTGTTGTCAATTATTATTATTATCTAAAAAAATGTTAATCAATTAATTAATTCAATGGTAAATAAATAAATAGTGATAATTATTTACTGAATAAAAACAAACACACAAAATGGTACGGAAGACCAAAAGTATCACCAAAACTGATCCAATGATTATCATTGAAGTCGAGGATCTGTTCGATGAACTGACGGCTGAAAACAACAGACTCGTCAATGAGTTGTTGTTTGCAAACAATTGTTTGAATTTATTGAWTGAATTGAAAAGTTATTTACAGATAATTCACGCGAAATACAAGACAATGATTGCTGAAGAAGACGTCAAACAGTGGCAGAGATTACAAGAATCAGTGGACACGACTGTTGAAGAATACAATCAAAGCAAAACAAGACTGAAAGCAATAGAAAATACTGTTAATCGCGAGTCAAATGATGACAAACTATACAAGTCTTCAGCTGACAYCACAAGTAATTGTTTGTCGTCGTCGACAACAACAGTGAAATCAATATCCAAGAAGAGGTCTCATACGATCAATAAATCTAAACTCAACGACAATAGTCGGCCATACGTTTGCCGACACACGGATTGCGGCAAACGTTTCAAACTGAAGAGTCATCTGTCGTTACACACGTCGACAGTACACAACACAAACGTSAGGACACACACGTGTCACGTGTGCCACAAGTCGTTCAAAGCCCGTAAACTTCTTGCCGATCATCTGATGATACACGACGTCAATCGTATGAAATACCAGTGCCCCGAATGCGGCAAATTGTTGTCGACAATGAAATATCTGCGAATACATCAACGATCAGTTCATTCGCTAGACATTACCGACCAGACTAACGATGACCACTTACCCGATGCAGTCAAACCTGATCACGAATTGGCCCGTATGTGTCAAAACAATTACGACCAGAAAACCCAACAGTACTACTGTCCCGATCGGGGCTGTCGTAAACCCTATGCACAGTTGTGGCGTCTGTACAATCATTTTAAGTCAACACATCCCGAACTGCAGTCAACAATATCAGTTGATGACTGCAATCTGCAGACGACGACRACGACAACTATTGTCGACGACACCAATAATTCGAGCGGTGATCGAAAATCAGATGAAATACTTCTATTGTTGTTAAAACAAAACAATTTCGACGAACAACAGCAACGCTATTTGTGTCCATTTCCCGGCTGTGATCGCAAGTATGTAGAAAATCGTGGCCTACAGTTGCACTTTGAGGTCTCTCACTATAAACCCGAATGCAAACCGTTTGTCTGTCGACAGTGCGGAATGGGATTCAAACGAAACTGTATGCTTAAGGAACACATGAAGACACACGAACTGAATCGTCAGAAGACATTCCAATGTCCTGAATGTGATAAATCGTTTTACAAAGGATTTGATCTGAAACGACACGAACGTACCAAACATTCCAATGGAGCGGCATTTAAGTGCGGTATCGATGACTGTCAGGAAATGTTTGCCACTGTTCATCAGCGAAGACTACATCGTCAGTCAGTGCACAACAAAAAGTATGCGTTAAACTATAAACCCGATAAACATTTGTGTCAGTGGCCTGGCTGTGACTACCGGTGCGGTAGTACTACTCAGCTGAACAATCATACCCGAATACATACGGGTGAACGACCGTATGTTTGTCAATGGCCACAGTGTGACAAACGATTTCGGCTGAAGATTGGCTACGATAGGCATCAGATATGTCATGAAAATTTGAAACCCTATGCCTGTCAATGGCCCGGTTGTGACTATAGGGGCAATACTGCCATCAACTGTCACGTTCATCAAAAGATACATCAAAGACAACAACAACAACAAGTGATTAGTTAATAATTAAAATTTATGTTTTTTTAATTGATGTATACATACATACCCAGTACAATTAATTTATTAATTAAAAACCGGTAATTTTTATTTTATTATTATAATTTTATATATTGTTAAATTTGTTTATTATTATTATATTATACCAGTTATTGTTTATCATAAATATATTGTTTTTTATATCAAATTTTTTAATTAAAATTTTTAATTTATTAAATACCTATTTKTTGTTATTTGTGTTTATTTCTAATAAAAATAAAGTTGTGAGTAAAAAAATATGTGATGAAAAAATAAATACGATATACAGTAAGCAAAATAATAAATTATGTATTTTTTAGAAATATTAAACCATTTATAATAATATAAATAAATTATTAAAGTTTATATAAATCCAAATATTTAATTGCATATTCAAATTATTTTTATCAATTTATATTTAAATCTATATTTAATATTACTAATATTATAATAATTTAGATTTTTTTAAAAATTGTATTATATTAGTAGAATTATTTTTACTAAAAATTAGTTATATTAATATTATTGTAAAAATAATTGATTWAAAAAATTATTTAGCATACAATRCATAAACAAAATGACAACCATTTGATAAAACCATTTATAWTTTTTTTTTTGTTATATAAYATTATTTACACTGTATAATATTTAAAATATATTGTTTAAGTAATTTTATTTATTTATTTATTTTGTACAAATAGTAAAATAAATGCTAATAATAATAAAAAATTATTTTTAAAAAATGTCGWKAAAACATAGTTAACAAAAAATAGATATTTAATTTATTTTTTCATATATGTGTAAATATTTTTTTATATGGCTATATATTTTATAATAATAAWTTTTTTGATAAAAAAATACATGCATAGCATACATAATTTTAAGACAATAATATTTACAATACAGTTATTTTGCTAACAATTATTAACAATAATTAGACGCACCTGAATGTACTGTTATTATTATCAGCACAGGTAAGGTATCACCAAATCCGGGTGCGGTATAATCAACAAATTAAAACAAAACAGTATTTGTTTATATATATATATAGCATTATACCAGTTAATAATATTTGATAAACTAATTATATTATTATTATTATAMTGTATATGTTATTCACAAATTTTATATAAATTATATGATTATAAACTAMTATGATAACAAGTCATAAAACTTTATTTATATGTATGATTTGTGATAACTTTATACAGTATTTTGCAGACATCTATAAAAAAGTTGTGTCTAATATCATAACAAAAGTATAGTATAGTATAATAATACAGTAGAAATACAGTTAAAAAAAGTAGAAATTTTTTTTATTATATTTATAGTGAATTGTTAATAAATAAATAAATTATACAAATATACAACAAATATATAGCCAGTATTTTTTTMATAGTAAGTTATGTAAAATATTTTTATCAAAAAAAAAACAAACAAATTATTTTCATTTATTTAATTTATCTAAATTTTATAATTAATTTAAACTAATCTATAAAAATATATATATATTTATAACAAACTTAGTGAATAAAGTATTATTGTACTTATATTAAAATATTAATATAAATAATCAGTACTATCTATTGTACTGTACATGAAATTTTATTTATTTATATACTGTATATAAAGTAATAATAATAATAAAGTTATGAATGATTTGTTAACTAAGTTTTTGTTATGTAATAAAATACCGGAAACCATTAAATTAGATATTAAACTATTGCACTGTACGGGCAATAATGTATGGTTTGTTACCAGTGCTGACCAATGCTATGTATTGGGCGATAATATGTGCGGCGAACTCGGTTTGGGTCATAAATTACCGGTTAATGAACCCCAAGTTGTACGGGAATTGTGTTCAATTGAGTGCCAAAAATTTATTATCGGAACCGACTTTGGACTGTGTCTGACAAGTGACCAACAGATATATAGCTGGGGGTCTGACAGCTATAAACAATTGGGTAGACATACCTGCCATATGTACAGTAAACCTGCTAACATACCGTTCCTTTCGGATAAATCCATTACGGATATTGCTTCAGGTTTTCTACATTCACTGGCACTTACCAGTGATGGCCGTGTCTATGGATGGGGTGATAACCGGTGGGGTCAGGTAGGATGCGGTCAAAGATTGGATCGGATTAGACGACCCAGTTGTCTAATATTTCCGCCAAATACTTGTATCAAATCAATCAGTTGTATCAATTGGTGTTCACTTGCCATAACAGCCGACGGTCTGGTATATTGTGGCGGTTGGACTAAACACAAACAATTTCGCGATAAAACTAGACTTAACTTTCACTTACTGGCGCTCATACCTAATATCAGTGACATTAAGTCACTTTCAATTGTTTATTTAGGTTTGTTTTCATATAATTAATAACTTATATAATACTAGCTATATATTATACTTAATAACTAAATTTATATTATATTTTTATTCAATAATTGATATACTTTTTATAAATGATATTATTAAATATTATTAAATTTTATTAAATTAAATCAACAAAATCTCATTTCAATTGATTTATATTCTAATAATTTGTTAATAATAGTAATAATAATAATAATTATTATTATTCATTTGTTATACATAGGACCTGATTATTATACATTGTTTTTGAATTTTAATGGACAAGTATTTCTCAATGACTTTGATATACTAAAACCAATTGATAACCGAATAATTATCAGTACTGGAGTCAAACAATTGTTTGGTCACTATGTCTATAAAAATGACAATAGATTTTATGAAATAATTTATAATAAAAATGATCAGGATCATCATCATCATCATCATTTTAAATTATCCATGATGTTAAATTTTACAAATTTTTCCGATTTATTTGCTTGTAGACATGGCTTAACTATTGAAACAATTAATCTATCCATGTATATGATAAATAAATCCATAAATATTGCTTATAAATTTTATATGAAATTTACTATTCAATATCAAATATCATCAGGTAGATATGGCAATGTATATTGTGTCCTTGATAAGATTACTAAAAAATTTATGGCTATCAAAGAGATAATTGTTGGTAAGTAAATGTAAATTTTTTTTTAAAAAAAATAATAATAATTAACATTTATTATTGATATACATTTTATTATTATTATTATTTTAAATACAAAGATAATAATAATAGCGGCTCTTATAAAATCAAACGTGAAGTCAGACAACTGTTTAGACTTCGGTCACCATTTGTTGTCCGATGTTATGACGCCTGGTTTGAGTTGAAAAACAATAGACTATACATTCAAATGGAGTTATTGTCGCAAACGCTCAGAAATGTCATCGATATGAAGGCAAAGACATTTCATAGACAACAACAACAACCGACAAAACCCATGGATCCGATCGAGTATTATATTTCAAGTCATCTGATGCTAGAGTTATGCGAATGCGTTGAATATTTGCATACAAGACATCCAAAGGTTATTCATCGGGATCTCAAACCTGCAAACATACTTATCAGTGATAATCCTATTTGTAATAATAATAATAATAATAGTTTGAATCGTTTTGTTAAATTGGGTGACTTTGGTTTGGCCACTGATCACAATCACCATCATTTGACAACTAATCGACATCAAGATAGTCATACACAATGTGTCGGAACGTTAGCATATATGGCACCGGAAGTTATATATTCAGGAAAATATAATGAATTCAGTGATATCTATAGTTTAGGTTTAATATGTAAAGAACTTTTCGATATCAATCCATTTAAGTAAATAACAAATAATAATAAGTTTATTAATATATTGTATATAATTAAAATTTTATGTATATTTTTTGTTGTTGTCGTTGTATTTATTGTTATCAAATAGCTCTAAAATCACCATGGACAATTACATTAAGACGCCCATGCTCAATTATGTTGACAATTTGATTGTTTTATTGGACTCAATGATTGAAATTAATAACATATACCGTCGACCCTCCAGTACTTATATAATAGCAAATAGTAATAAATGGATGTTTGATAAGAAATTTTTAGACAAAAATCAATCAAATTATAAACAAATTTTTACTAATATTACTAATAATAATAATAACAATAATAATTTTTTTAGAAATTTTCTAAAATGTAAAATTAATTATCAAATGAAGTAAAATTACTAATAAATATTTTTTTACTTATTTTTTATTAATTCAAAAAATATTATTTTTTTATCAATATCCAATAATAATATAGATCAATTAWATGTTTTTTTTAAATAAAAAATATTATTAAATAGTATTATTGTTTTAAAATTAGATAATATAATACTAAAGACTAATTTTATATAATTATCTTAAGTATATAAAAAATATTATTTATATAATTAGCAATTTATAATTTTATAACAACAGTCATTAATCAATATGTGTCAAAATTTACTGAAAAATATATTAAATTAAATACAATTAGATAATCAAATAATTACTGAATATTGTTTGAAAAGAAAATAATTTGCATAATAAAAAATATTTATAAAAAAAAATTATTTTATTTTTTTTTGTAAAAAAGTGTACAAAAGGWTATGATWATTTTATTTAAAATTTTTATTATTAATCAATTAAATATTTTAAATAATAATAATAGAAAAATAATAATTMTTGATTGTTTGAATTGATTGATTGAAATATTTATTTATTTATTTATTTAAAAACTATAATTATATTAAGAATATAATTTTATTATATAGAAATTATTACAAAAAAATATCATAGCAATTATGTAATTATTATTAAAAAATAAACTCAACTATTGTTAAAAAAATTTACAAACACGCAAACTATAAATATATACCTGTATATAAAAAAATTACACACTATATAAACGATTAAATAATAKTTATTATTTTAAAAACCTAAAATGAAAAAACTATGAAAKTTAACATTATTTTGTCAACATTGTGGATATGTATGCTAGGTATGTATTGTATTTTTTATAAATCATATATATTATTATCATTTAGATATCATTTTGCTTAGATTTTATCTAAATTAGTTAAACATATATATATATATWTAWATTTATAATTTAAAATAATAWTAATAATAATACTGTATATCTGATTAGTACATCAATCACTGGGATCGGTATCATGCAAAAGACCTACCCTTCCCTGTGGTAGCAGCTGTTGTAATCTCTGTATAAATATGTGTTTTACTGATGTCAACGACAAAAGCWCKTGTATAAGATGTCGCGACCGTTTAGGCAATCCTACCAACTGTCCTAAAACAACACTGTGCTCGACCAGAGGATAGTTGTATTTGGGGGGAAAGGGATGCAATTATAATAAAACATAATATATATAACAATAATATCTATCATCCATRATATTAATAGCAATAGTRYWGTTAAATAATTGATCAAAAAAATGGTTAACTAAAACAATTTTCTAAATAAAATATTTTCATAATAATATRAATTTAAAAAAAATTTTTTTTTTTAAATTGATTATAGACTTGATTTAATTGATTAAATATTGTTAATTTATTTAAAAGTGAATTTTTATACAATATAACTAATTATTTTTTTATATATATTTAAATATAATACAATAATTTTCAATAATTTTATTTGTTGTAAATAGTTATAAATTACAGAATTATAGACAATTTATTTTTTTTAATAATRTATATAATTTCTAACAATAAAACTAAAAATCTTTTAAAATATTAATTAATTAATACAATGCAAAACATATTTGATAACAACTCAATAATAATTTCTAACATTAGTTGTAAAAACAAATTATAACAATAGATAAATAATATATAAAAATTATTAATTATTAAAAACTAGTTAAAATATCAATAAAATAAATAAATACAATGGAAATCATATTGCTAACAATTCCATACAATTATGAATATTAATCGGAAACAAATTATAACAATTATACAAATGTGATTAAATAAATAACATTTTAACATTAAACTAATAAAAAGGTATTATGATAAAACTAACTGTAGTTTTCAGTCATAAATAAGTAAACTTTATTACACTTTATTAATGCAGTACATATTAAAATTAATTATTAAAAAATTTGTTAAAAATAAATTAAATTTAATCAAWTTAYWGTTTGCATAATATGTTAGTATGCAATTATTTGATAATTAAATATTTATAACAAAAAAAACACAATTCAATTTAATAATAATTARAATTAATTCATTATAAACACATATATTATAATAATGATATTGTATTTATAAAATACAGTTTTTTATAATTGTTTATAAAAAAATATATACAGTATATACACAATGAATTTATTTATTTTAAAAACAAACGCTATATAATAATTAATTAAWTCATTAAAAATATATACTGTATATAATTTATTAATAATAAAAACAAAAATATAATTAATGATAATTTTTTTTATAAAAAAAACTATAATATTGTTATAATTAAAAAATAATTAGCCGAACAAGCTAATAAAAATTTATACACTCTATGACTGTTTATTGGAAACATATCCATACAATAGAAACCAATGTCAGGACCTGATAGTTTTTCAATAAATGCTATTAATTTTAATTTTGTACATGGTRATTTATATTGATAATTAATTGATGATGATGATAAATAGTACATTGATGACAATGGTTTATGTGCAACTTGGATTAGTCTAGTTAGTTGAAAACTGATGGCTAAAACTGCTGCTAGAAATATTATGGAAAATATCATAAAATAATAGCGCATAATATCTATAGTATCATGGTGATGTGACATATAAATTAATAGTTCAATAGTCAATGATGCTATATAATAGCAAACTGGTAACAAATATTTGAATATATTGTTAACATTATGACACAATTTTTCAATAAAACAATGTTCATTGATTGCCAACGATTTTAATTGTATTAGTACTGTATAATTGTTACGTAATTTTAGTGAGTTTTCAATGTTTTTATTGATTGATGAAAATCTGAGTCTCAAATAAAATGTTAGAAATATAAGTAGAAATGCAAAATAATTGGTACTATAAATCAATTGTCTAATAGTTATATAACAAATAATATTCCAAATTAAATACCAAACTATTGAATAAATTGATAAATAATTTGAACAATAATAACCAGTTGATACTAAATGCAATAATATAATTGGCCATGCTAAATTATTAAATGGTCTATGTAAATATTTAAAATAATACAATAATATTTTACTAAATTTTTGCYTATAAGATTTATCTAAAAAATTATACTGATTAATTTTGTTCATAATTAAATAGCTTATGATAAATATATAATATTTTCGATACMATTCACTAATATTAATAATTAATACAATAGTTARGGCAACGAATACTAATAAACTAATAAAACTAGAAAATACAGCTGTATTTGTTAGATATGGTATCATATTATACATGAAAATATAATTTGAATATTTTTTTGATATAGCAATTATGGCAAATCTTAACATAAATATAAATGTTATGAWTCGATAAATTAATATACGTTTAATTCGTCGGCTATTCAATGGMCGATCAAAATAGTAGTCATCACTMGTTGGATATATTGTTACATAATTTTCATACAAAAACTGGTCCAACAGTTTAAATGATTGTTTAATAAGATTGTTATGATTGGTGCCATTAAATACAAATTCATTATTTTTAATTTTTAGCAATTTGTTCATTATTAATAATTAGTTTTATTTGATATCAATATATTATTTTTATTAATWTATACTGTATTTAAAAATTTTAAGCTTAATTTGTTAATAAATTAAATATTATAGATTAACAGATTTAAAAAATAATATTAAAATAAGTACAATTTTTTCCAATTATTTTTAATATATTTATGTTTTAATTAAAAAATATATTGTATTTTAACTTTCACTCTAAATATAATTTTTTATATAAATATATAATTATATTRTTTAKTAGTCAAATAAATRCTATTTATATTTTATAATTTTCTACTGTATTCAATGAATAATAAAAAAATACTGTAATTACAATAAATCATAATAATTGTTATTATAAGTGCAATATTATTACAAATAACTTTTACATAATTATAACAAAGCTATAAAATATGATATAMAGTATAGCYAATAATATACAGGTATTTAAATATAATTTATAATCTATATTATAGATTCTATAATATACTTAAATATATACTATAAATTTAAAGAGTATTATTTAACCTAAATAAATAAAAACAAAAATTTAATTTATTATTTTAATATGATTATGCATATTATTTGTTTAAAACTATATCAATTCTTAGAAATAATTTATCATATTAATATCATAATAAAAAAAATATTTTTTATTTCTATAAATTTTTTTTTWATAATTTAWAATTATTGAATTTCATTAGTTATATATAACTTATAATATTTTATAAAACTTTTATTTAAATATTAGTTTATAATATWATAGTTGTTATGACAATCCAATGTRAAACAAACTTTTGTAAAAAAAAGTTGRAAAAAACAAATTAAATRTTTTTTTTGTATTAGTTATCAACAGTTATTATTGAYATTTAAATTATTTGTTAAAAGTTTTRTTTTTGTTATGATAATTGTARACAYAATTTAAAAATTTWAATCTGATAGCAAATGTAGTTAATAAAGTATATTAAAACTTAAAATGGATAAATTATTGTAAAAATTGTAACAATAATATAAATATAATGTTAATTTTATTATTAATATATTAAATCAATAATAAATTAATAGTCTAAATGTTTTAAAAAATAGTTGTTTTTATTTTATAATATACTAATTTTATATTTTTGAATTTGAATTTTCTAAATACAATACTTATTTACTAATTTTTTATGAACTAAATTGTTATTTTTCATAAATAATTATAGATTATTAGAAAATTAATGTTTATTGTAATCATTGTATAGATTACTTATTATATCATTTACTTCAATTAAATTGTTATCACATACAGTATATATATATATATATATAATATAAACATATATATTTACATTTCCTAAAAACAATATTTTATTTATTTGTTAATACAATTTTACTAATCAGATAATAATTAACGTATATATATTTATCTAATGTGTGATATGATGTGATAAAAATGACAATAAACTATAAATAATTTTGTTTTTTTCATATGAATAATATTTATAGGACTCGGGTATTGTTGTTGCTATGCCTGTGCTCATCATCTCAATGTTACAATTAAATTACAGTACATACCGTTCCTCTCTCTCTCTCTCTCTCTCTCTCTCTCTCTCTCTCTCTCCCCTCATATTGTAGTATCATTTTGTTTTTCATATATTAAAAATATATAACATTTAATTAGTACTAAATTTTTAGGAAACAACATGTTTTTTAAAAATAATTGTTTTATTGAATTAGTAGTAGTAGTAGTAGTTATTGATAGCAATTATTTTAGTAGTAATTATCCAAATTAATTATCATCATTGAGTTGTTATCAAATTACAATATAATTGATAGAATTTTTTTTTGTTTTTTTTCTAAAATAAAAGCATATAAACATATTTAGCATAATTATTATTAGAAAATAATTGTATAACAAAACAATAATTTTGTTGTAATTAGTTATTGYATATTTAGTTTTAAATTGTTTTTTAAAATTTTACTTTTAAAAAAAGTAACTTAAAAATTAATTAATTATATATAATTTATACTATAAAACAATACACATGTATTAATTAAACTACAATTGTATTTTATAGACAAATGTAATTTTTTAGTCAATGATAAAAATAAACAATTAGCAAATTTRTGTCAATATAAAATGAACTATAATCWATTATAAGTTTATCATGGYACATTTTTAAAAATAAATTAATAAATAATCACTAATGTAAATGTACTGTACGTGMATTTTCAAAAAATAAAATAAAATAATAATAGGTACTTGTGCTAGATTGTTTTTTTGAATTTATCATTATTGTATATACATATACATTGATAAAACAATATTRCTATATTAATTAAATTTATTTATTTTATTTGTCTAGCTAAGTTATTTATTATATAACTATTTTTTYAATTGATAAAATAAACAAATTTATATTTTATTTGCATAATAACTAATCATTTAATTAGCTGTTATTTATAACTTCCTTGTATATATATATAATTTATTTTGATATAATTTTGTACTAATATTATACAATAAGTCTAATGTTATATAACCTACTATACCTAAACCTACACGTGCTTAATATGATAAATATTAGGGAATATTCCACTTATAAAAATGATTTAATCCGATAATTAAAAAAATTAATTAAATACTTATCATAGATTACATATCATACATACATTTTAATATATATATATATATAAAAATTAATAAATTAAAATAAAGCAATAATATTCATATAATATATTTTCTATTTTTTTATCAAATTGGTTTAAGATAAAAAAGTATGGAAAATTTTAGTTTTTATTGAAAAAATAATCTTAAAAATTGAAACAAACAATTTTTGTTAAATTGAAATTAAGTAAAACTATTTATTTAATCATAACAATTTAAGAAATTTTTTTACAAACAGTAGGTTAAAAAAATACTTATTAAAAATAGAAAGTTATTTTTGGTAAACAAAGTTTTAAAAAATTATTATTATTATTAATATTATTGCAAAATAATTTATAGCTAGTTTATACCAGATCCCAAATAGTGTTTACGTCAATGATTTAATTTTTGTTATCAATTATTAGATTTTTATATTAATTAAACAAATTATTTATAATATTTTTGTTGTTTATTTCCGTTTAGTTTAAGCAATTTTATTTTATATAAACAATCTAATAAATTATAATAGATTTATTCATTTTTCTAATAATTTTTTTTATATAATTTATTTATTTCATTTCATTGACAACTAACTAAACATATGCTAAACATTGAAATTTACAAAAAAATAAATAAAAATAAAATAACAATAATAATAATTATTTTATTATAAATATTCTAAATAAATGTTTTCCAAATAAAAAAAGTTTATTTTAAATACATATAAATATTTAACTTTTAATATGTTTTTTAATAAATAATGTTAATATGTTTGTATGTATTACAAAATTTTTTATTTATTAAACAAATGTTTGATAACAATTTTTTTAAAAATTAATTAAATTAAATCAATATCTATATGTTTTTTTGATATACACTATATGTATACATAAAATCTACACTCAATAGTCACGAGGTTTTGATTCATGAAAAACCACACATTTTATTATCAMTTGATTTAWTGATAATATACATATTTTTTCTAAATAAAAATAAATTTATATCTATTATACATCGATAAATTTTAAATAACATTAAAATAATTAAAATTATAATGAACCTATTTTTAAATAAATATTTACCAAATTAATAAACACAATAAAATGACTAATTTTTAAAAATATGATAAAACATTTAATTTAATTATAAAATTTAATAATTTATAAAAATAATATTGATTTTATAGTTTATCAATAATTATTAGTTAAAAAATTTATAAAAAATAATATTATTTTATAACTAGTATATATTGTACTTTATATCTACTAATAATTTGTTAAATAATTATGGAGCCATTAATTATAAACATTTTTATTAATTAATTAATTAATTTGTAGAAAAGAAAAAAATTTTGTATATAAAATTTACATCAAAATTACGTGACAAAAAAAGCCATCAAACTTTTGTCTTTCAAAATTTAATACATAAATATATATTATTTGCAAATAAAACAGATATGTATTAATATATACATATATAAAGTGTATAGTATTTTGCATTGATATTTAAGTTGACTAACATGTTATATGTCTCGTATATCGTAAACTATAAAGTTTTTAGTGATATATCTACAGTGTATATACAGTATATAAATTTAATTATATTATTAACAGTAATTAAAATTAATAAACTATAGTACAGTATATTATTATTATTATTAACAGTCAGTCAGTCATAGAGTACAGTCATACTGTGTTTTTCTATACTAGAGTAGTAGAGAGTGAGTCCCTCTTTATCTAATCAAATATATATATATATATATATATCGACTTTTAATATACAGTATATACTATATATATAGTCAAACAAATAGACTTTTTAAAAGATATAATTTTTCAGTATATTATTGCAAAAACAAATAACTGTTTCGTTGATTAGAGAAACGAAACGCCAATCAATGTTTGCATTTTTCAAGAAGACTGACTAACTATTTAGTAATAAATATATTATTATTATTATTGAATTTATTTTCACATAGATATAGATATTGATAGTTATTATTATTATTAATAATTTGGTTTGTTATCTCTCTCTCTCTCATAATTTTAGAAAAATACAGAAACATTTTTAATTGCAAAAAACCTACAGTCATATACAGTACAATATATATATCATATATAATAATAATAATAATTTATATAAAACTTTCCGCTATTGAGTTGATTGAGTGATCGATCACTGATCAGTATTTTTGTTGTGTGTGTGTATGCTATATAAGTAGTGTCCATATCTCACATAAACCTCATAAACAGTTTGGGGTATTACCTACCAGTCCTCTCTCTCACACTGTATTTAAATCACTACTACTACTAGTTATTAATGTTTTGCCTAATTATTATATTTGTGCAAAAAAATTACTCAACTTGTAATAATAAATTTAAATTATTTACTTAAAGTAATTAATATATAATAAATTTTTTTTGGTGTATAATAATTTAATTAATTAATTTAATTAAATTAATTAACTAAAATAATTTCGTCTATGCATCCGAAATCAGATGATTTAATGAATACAATTATTAACAGAAGTGCTACTAAAGTATTAAGAGTCGAGAGTTTAAAAAATCGCAAAAAGTAAATCTCGTTTTATTTTAAACGATATTTGTAATAATTTTTTTAAAAAATTATAATTATTATTACTAATATAACTATTAAATTTCAAATTGAATTCAAACTTGAAAATTTAATTTTTTTTTAAAAAAACTTATATATATATAACGCTATCGATACCTATACCTTTTGAGCAAAAAAAAAATTATAAGCCTAAATTATTAAGTAAAACACTTTTTATATACAATAATAAACCTATTTGTGTTTAAAAAAACCCTTACCTACTACTACTACTACTACTACTACTACTGTTCAAAAAAAACATGTTGTTCCTCATGGCTTATAATTTTGCACTTCATATATCGATAGCCTCGATAGCCATCGACTTTGTGTTGGCTGTCGGCGCCCTATTAACCGGCACTTCATCGTCCAACTGTGCCTTTGCCGTCGACTGTCTATTAGACGTATTTTCCAATGCCATACTGGTCTGGCGTTTCTATGGCGATTCAAACGGTCGACCGACACCACCACCGCCGGTSCCGGAAAAGTCATCACTGTTGGCCAGTTTTGACCGACAYCCACAGTTTCAGTTGTCCGGTAACCAATCGCCGGCCATACARCGYAAAGAGTTGTTGGCCTGTCTCGGTTTGGGCATAATGTTTATACTATCCGGTGTCATAGTGATAGGCAAGTCGGCCTGGGATCTGGTCTCAGCCGATGAGGTCATCGATCTCGAGCCCGATGTAAGTCATTGTTTTATTATTATTATTATTTCTAATCGTCTAAAAAAAATTGTTTTACTATTTATAAATGTTTATTATTTAATTTATGCTATATTTTAATATAATTATTTTTTAAAAAATATTTTCTAAAAATTATTTTTCCATTTTTTTATTTGTGTTTTATATAGTAATAATAATAATAATCTGTAAGTTTTTTGTTGTTTATGCAAAACATGTAATTAAATGTATATATATATAAATATTGTTATATRTATGTATATTACTGTCCCTATATATTTGTATTATGTTTTTTTTGTTAATAATTTTTGTTTTTTCWTATAATTTATACATTATTTTTCTTAATTTTTTAGATGAATGGTTTGCCGGGTATACTACACGTAACATCGGTAGCATTTGTGATATGCGGTCTGTTAGCTTTGGGAAAATACATGCTATACAAACATATGAACTCCCAGTCCATGTATTTAGAATGTAAGTTATTATTTAAATAAAAAAAAACATTAAATTAGTTAATCAAATAATAATTTTCAAGTGATAGATACCAGTAGTTATTTTTCCTCAATTTACTTACAATCTATTATTATTATTATGCTATTGCTCTCTATCTAAGCAACAATAATTATTATTATAGGATAGCAATGTGTACTGTAAATACATACGAAAGAACTTTCTAGATTTTATTGGAAAGTTTATTTAGTAATTTTCTCCACTCCACATATCTGTTTATTTATCTATCGTTGAAAATATTAAATATTATCATTCATCTGATTGATATCAAAATTATTGTTATTTGTTTTCTCAGATAATCCAGAATTTTCGCATATATATATATAATTGTATTAATTATTATTTATGTTTTGATAATTATGTTTTGATATCAATTTGATATCAATTTTATTTGAAAGCTATATAAATTCAGACTATAGATTGAGTTATTATTTGATAATAAAAACCAAATTATTGACACATTTATTTCTATTGATATTTTTATTATATATATTATATATAAAAATGATATCTAATATATGCTTTAATGATTTATTTTCAAATATATAGCTATAAATTCATGGATCTCATCGATACTAGCGCTGGTAATAGTGATCAGTACAATGATTATCCAATACGACAACAATCTATGGATATTGGATCCGATTGTGTCGATAGTATTCTCAGTTTTTATGATCGTCTACGGCGTCTATAATATACGTAAATCGGATACAGCTTTAAGGGTTAACCGGGAAAGTTATGGCTGCTATAAGAAACCAATACAATTGAATCGCAAACGAGTCGAGTATATAATGATTCCGTAGGCCTGTGCTGAGCTGCTGATGATGATAACCGCACCCAATCATACCATCATATATATAGGCTTTTATATCTATATATTTAGTCAACATTTTTTAAATAATATTTTTTAGTGACAAACAAATAATTCACACACAAAAAAAAATATATATATCATTATCACTAAACATTTATCAGTTATCAAAATATATATCTATACATTATTTGTTAATACATATATAATTAATAACAAAATACATTAATACATTGAAATATGTTTATATTAAACAGCATTGAAATTAATAGTTATTTTTTCTACTAAATAATTAGTCAATATTAATAATAATCTGATATATATTTTATTTTTATTATAAATTATTTTGTTTTTTTATTTATCAATCAATTATCAAATATGTTTTTAATGATTTTTTTTATAATTATTTATATGATATATATCTATTTATCTCTATATATAATTTTGTATTATTTTTATTATATATATTTTTTAGTGAAAACATTTTTTTGTTATTTTATTTGAATCAATGATAAATATTTATTAGAAAATTGTAATATTAGATAAAAAAAACATTTTTATATAAATATTTAGCTAATACTTTTGATAAAAATTTATATTAATACTCAAATTGTAATTTAACTAATAATATAGTAGATTATAATTATATAAATTATTTAACACACATTTAGTTTTAATTTATTATAATATTATTGTGATTTTGTGTTTAAATTTATATATAAAAAAATACAATTAAAATTATTAGCAAATTGTWTAATCAAATAAATAAAAATTGAAAAAATGTAATTAAAATGATTTTTTTAAATAAATAATACTATTAATAATTTTTAATTACTAATAAAWAAAATAATAAAACAAATTTAGATTTTAAAGAATTATTTTTTTTAGGTTTTATTTCATCATAAGAAAACATAAGAGTGTATACAATATATATATATATATAGATCTCTAAAAAAATATATATCAAACTTAACAAACAATAATATTTTTATATATAAAAAATGGATCACAATTTTGGGAGATGAATGAGTGATTAAACAAAAACATAAAAAATATTTTTTTTTTAAATAAAAATATTSATTAGTTTTGTTTTAAACACTCAAATTGAGAATTAAAAACAACAAYAAAAAAAACTATTTTTAAAACATGAAATCATATATAAAAAAAAGGATAACTCTTTCTCTCTTTTCAGACAATTATAAGTCAACGATAAAAACTACCGAAGCTTTTGTTGTTGTTGTTGTTGCTGTTAGACTTTGCCGGCCAACAAAGCGGGTGCGGCGAGACCGTGACCGGCCAAACCRTAACCGTGTCCGGTGGMCAAAACGGCGGGTGCGGCGGCAATACCGTGACCGTAGCTGGTGGTGTAGGCACGAGCGCCGAGGATGGCCGGGGCGTGAGCTACTGAACGGACAATGGGTGCTGAAGCGTAACCGTGCGAGTAGACAGCGGGGGCACTATGCACGACGGCTGGGTGAGCAACACGGGTGGCATAGCTGGTGGCAATGCCGTGTCCGACAGCTACTGGTGCGGCGGCGTAACCGTGACCGGCAAGACCATAGCCGTTACCGACAAGTCCAATGCYGTTACCGACAAGACCATAGCCGTTACCGGCGAGACCATAGCCATGGCTGGCGATGACTGGTGCGTCATAAGCGGCGTACGAGACGGCTGCCGGTGGGACGGCAACGGCCAGACCGAGAAGAGCGGACAAAACGATCTGATGAATGGGTTAGTGTGTGTGTGTGTGTGTGTGTGGGGGGGAAGGGTATCCAAGTGGTCGTACCAACAAAAAAAACAAGAGTACAGGGATTAGCAATTAGTCACATATAAAAAATAGTTATAATAATAATAATATCCAGTGATGTATATATTCATACCAATGAGTTCATTGTTGTTGCGTTTGGGAAGTGATTGGCAAAGTTTGCACAAAAAAATTAAACTGAAAGTTTGAAATTTGCTTTAAAAACTTTTTGGATAATTTTTTCTAAGCTAACGGTGCTCTTTATATACTAAATTTTTTTCGCTTTTTCTCTCCCAATCCTTGGAGTAATTATAYTACTAAAACACTGGCCAGTCGTGTAAGAGGTAGAGAGAGAGAGAGAGAGAGAGAGAGAGAGAGAGAGAGAGAGAGAGAGAGAGWGAGWGAGTGAGTGAGAGTGAGGAGGGAGAGGAAAGTTGGGTTACAAATACATATCTGAGTGCATAATACCTGACTTCAAGACATTTTTCGGCTAATCCTTGAAATCCCTTTTCTTTTCTTTTATTACTRTATATTATGTTATTGTATTAATAAAGAAAAAAATAAATTATTTATTTTTAAATATTAAATAACATTAAAATAATATTGTAATTAGTGTTTTGTTTAATATAAAAATATATTTAAAAAAAATTGCTTATATTATTGACTTTGAAATTTATTTATTTTTTTGTTTTTCGAGGACTCATGTTTTGTGGTATTATTATTACTTGCCTAACGGTGTTATCATAGGGCGGGTGTGTGAGTGACTGAGTGAGTAAATGATTGAATAAGTATATGTATATATTATATATTTAGATGTATGTATATAAGCTAAACAAACAATTATGAGCCCTAATTRCCCGGTGCTATAGATATTAATATCAGATTCATATATATATATATATATATACTGTATATACATATTTTGAAAAAAAATAATTTGGTTATACTATTTTATATGTATGCTATTTTCAAGTTTACACAATCGATGCCTTTATTTTTTTAATTATTATTGAATATTACTATTAAATTATTATTTTAAAGATTTAAKACATTATAGACACTAATAAACTCAAGGAAAACAATTGAATTAATTAATTCAACATTAAATCAAACAGATTAGACAAACTTAATTGTATTAATTAATAAATGTTGTTTTTWAAAAAATATTGTAATATAATAAATTTCAAAATATGGTTAACAAAAAAATAAACTATTGATTTTTATCAATTAAAATATTTATCAAATATAAAAAATATTTTTTTTATTAAAATAATAAATTCTGGACAATAATCTAGAGCACAGGTAGGTATATCTAATAAATCTAATAATTTTATAATATACTTAGGGTAGCACCCAATACATAAAAATGGCATAAATAATTTGCTTAATGTTTTAGGGGGGAGAGATTGATTATAAGCAATAGTTTAGTTTAGGAAATGATTTATTAAATTATTATTTTGTTTAAAACTTTTTATTTAATATATAAGTATAATATTAWTTTTTTTWATTTTGGTTTTATCAAAATTATTTATCCATAAAATTGACATTAATAAACAAATAGCTTATAATTTTTTTTATTATGCTAAAAGTATTTTAAYAAAAATTGCTATTTTATTATWTCATTTAATGTTTATTAGTTGATAAATTTTATATAGTTTATTAAATTAAATTAATACAATAATTACAAACAAATAAAGAAAAACAAGTTTTTATTAAATATTTTTTTTATTAACCTTTTATTTGACATTTTTTAGACATAGACTACCTATACCTCTAGGGATAGGTTGCTAACGTTTCCTTTAAAAAAATCATATAACTTTTCCAYACATTATATATATATATATACTGTAAATACTGTATCAATACATGTCGTATCTATTTTTAAATYAAATGTTTTGTTAATTATTCAAAATTACAATTATAATTACAATKATATTTATGATAAATAWATAWATATATATATATATATATATATATATATATATATATATATATATATATATATATATATATATCGTATTACTAAACATTTACTGTTATTMTGATAAGATTTTATATATTAATAAATAATATATCTTAAGATATAAATGCAATTTTTGAAAAATACTGTATAATATACTGTATTATTTGATTTTAATATCAAATTATTATTGTTTGCCACACAAATATACCCCCTAACAAAAAAAAAGTCCATTAATTTTTAGTAGTACATTGTAGTAGTAATTTATATGACTATGATATCCAAAATTATGATAATAAATATGTGAAACGTGTTTTCGTTTAGTTAATCAAAAATAATAATAAAAATCCCATGTATTTAATGATCATTTTTGTTGTTGTTTTATATATTAATGTATAAAAATGTTGAAACCATGTGTTTTGTCCGATAATTGGCGTATAAAGTCAATGTCATTTCAATGAATAATCATATACTGTATAATATAATAATAATAAACACTGTATTCACAATATTTTGTATTAYAATAGATTAAAATTATACTAAATAAACAATTTATCATTTTTTTGACTCTCTCTCTCTCTCTCTCTCTCTCTCTCTCTCTCTCTCTCTCTCTCTAAGTAATACATTTGTAGATATATTGTACATAGTATGTACTACATACCTATCATATGATGATGATAATAATTGTTAATGATAAAAAAATACTATTATTTATTTTAGATTAAAACTATTACATTTAAACAATTCACAAAAAAACTGTATAAGCAGTTACAAGTTATGATTATATAGTTTTTAAAAATACAAAAAATAAATAAATAGATTATCTATGAATCATAGATATTGAATATATTAGATAAAAAAATAGAAAAATTAATTTCATCAAAAATAAGATTCATGAAAATCAAATTACATAATTTTTTATAATTTATTATTTTCAAGTGTATCAATTTATTTTATTATTATTTTTTTAATTTTTTTTTTGAGTWACAAGWTTATTAATCCATCAAAATTTTCATTACATTATTGTAAATGTTTATATATATTATATATTATTTCTATTATCTAACCATTTAGCTCAAGGATTATAATATAAATAATCTCTAAACTCATATAGTTTACAATATATATATATATATAAACTATTATTATTATTATTGAAATTAACTTATAACATATAATAGATATTATATCATGAACTGTATAATTAATTATAAAAATTTATTTGTCTATAGAAAATATGTTTTTATTGTTTTATTTTCAAAAAAAAAAATTATATGTATAGTATATTTAGTTTTTACAAACAAAAAAACTTTATATATATATATTGCATATATATATATATATATAAACTAAGTTTACGTAGGTTTATAATGAAATAATTAATTTTTAGTAGACCTTAAAAAATTGGTCAAGATTTTGGTTAATAATATATATATAAATATTTTTTAAAAATAATAATAWTTATCAATAGATTTTTAAAATATATATATATATAAGTATTGTTATTATTATAGTGATATTATTTTAACGATTATTACGATAGCATTTTATTTATTTAATGATTTATTGCTATTTGTTTGTTGTTTTTTGCCAATTGTTTTTTCTAGTAAAATGTGTTGCAAATAATTTATTTTAAATAATAACAAAATTTTTGTTATTGAATAATATTTTTGTTATTTTACTAAATAAATAAATACTAATAATTATGTATTAATTTCTTATAATTATAGACACGATAATTATAAAACTACAATAATTTTATTAACAAATTTTTTCAATAACTATTTACTGTTTAATTTAAATTTTTTTATTTATTTATAATTATCATCATCATTATTATTATTGGCAATAATTAAAATTAAACAAAATGTATTGAATTTAACAAAAAAATACATTTACATTATACCCTAAAAAAATTATATCTAGAAATCAAGAAAAAATGATATTAAAACAAAAATTAGGAAATAATAATATTATTATTACTAATAATAATTAAATATTCAAACCTTGATTTTTATTTCTTATCTAAATATTGCATCTAATATAACAATAATTGTTTTAAAGTTTTTATATATATATATACAGTATTAATATTATTACATTGTATATACATTTTTTTGTTTGTTAATTTTATTTAAATTGTTTAAGTTTATATATAATATATACAGTATATATATACTGTATATATATTTGTCATTGACTTTGAGCAATTATTTTAAAAAAATTAAATTTGGGAAGATACTGTACTTTATTATGTTAATGTGTTAAATATATAGTAAAAAATAATATTATACAAAAATGATAAAGTATATTTTAGCAATTATTATTGCATATTAAAATATTTATTAATGTATTAAAATACAATAAAATAACATTTTTAATGATTTGTAAATTGTAATGTGTAAGGATATAAATTTAACTATAATTATCTGGTAATTTAAGACAACTATTAACAAACATACAAAAAAATGTAAATTACAGTTAAAATTAACAATAGTTAATGTAATCTTAAATAAATATACATAATTTTTTKAWTTTTATCATARGACTAAATCTAAAACATAMACTAATTATATTATTATATTGTAYTTAATATATCATAATATATAAATAAAATATATATWGTTAATTAGCACTAATTTTATTTTATTTCAATTTAATTAATATAAAAKACAGCTTTTTATTTAAAAAAAATATTTAATTTCAAATATTGATTGATTATCGAAAAATATTTACAATTTTTTAAWTAKTTATTATTATAATAATCATTGATWATATTAATAATATATATTTTTACTAATCAAATAAACATTTATAAAAAAATTTCCACAATAAATAATATAAAAACAAACAATTGCTACAATAATTTGAGTAATTTTATAGAAAAAATTATTATATAAATTTTATTAAACTGCTATTTAAGTTATTAAATTATTTTTAAATATTAAAATACATWTATACAATATATAAAACTGTTTRMAATCATAAAATTAATAAAAATTTAAAATATAAWSTAAATTATYACAAAATTKYAAATATTAATTTTTAAATTATGACTTTAYTTTTAATACAGCTTATTTAAACATTACAAAATTATATTTATATATTTTTTTACATTTATAAAAATTTATTGACAAATAAATTTATCATTAATTTATTAGATTTTTTTCTATATTGATAACAAATATTGATAAATAATGATTTTTATATATATATATATTTCTAATTAAATTCAGACCCTATGATTAATTGCTAAAATTAAACAATTTATTTATAAATAAAACTTACTAAAAATCATATGTCAATTTGTTATATAATAAATATTGAATTTCAAAACATAAACTTATCAAATAAATTATAAACTTATATACTTTGAATTTTGGTTTACAATTAAATTTATTAACTAATTTTATTTTCTAATAAATATTTTATAAACAGTTTATTTTTATATTAAATAATAATAGTTATTATTATTATTATTACCTTGTTACAAATCTAATATAGCAAATAATTTATAAGTATTTTTGTTGGCTAAAAAATGTTCAAGTACATATAATTTATTTAAACTGTAGATGGGGCTCAATAATATACACTGTATTGATGGTAACTATTTATAGTATTTATAGATACAGTACTAATACATGGTTTCTATACCTGTATACAGTATATTACTGGTATATTGCATAATAGTCTATACATTTACAAAATGTGTAAACTTAACATGTACATTAATACAGTACATTCAAGTACACATAAATAAACAAAACATTCARCAAMAAAAAAATTATATATAATAAAATTWTTATCAACCCATCATTTTTGTAAAAAATACAAAATTAATAATAATAATAAAAAAATTGTATCATTAATGTGACATAATTTATATCATATACAAAAAAAAGTAGTAGTATCCAGTATCAAAATGTGATAATACACAATACTAAACACGTGTGTTTAAATGTATGTGTGATTAAATCAAATCAAATAAAAAATGTACTAGTAACTTTTTTTAATTTTTTGAATCATGTGTACTAATAATGCTGATCATATATAATCATATATATATATATATATATTTTATAAATTAAAATATCTAGCTTATTATAATAAACATCATGTGACATTTTAATAATKTATATATAATAAAAAGTTAATCATTWTTAAAATTAATTATAATAATTATTTTATATTTTTAGTTTTGTTTAGTAATATATTTTCAAAAATAACTAGTTTTATATCATATACTGTTTGACAGTTTATATAACATATATATATAATATGTTTGTTTAAAAATTAAATCCTTGAATCGTATTAATGGCTGTCAAAATATAATATGTTTAGTTATATTGAATTATAATTTATAAATGATCATGCTACAATTTTTGTGATTTTTTTAGTAAACTAAAATTACTAAAAAAAATTTTTTTTCACAATCTGTGTGTGTGTTTATAATGTCAATCATTTTTCAAATATATATATCTATTAATTTTTTTAATATCACAATATATTAATATTATGCAGTATTTGTAGCTAAAAGTAAAAGTTTATGGTTTATATAAAATATTATTATTATTATTATTTTTATAAATATTATTTGTTTATAAATACAGTATTATATCTCTCATCGATATATATATATATATATATATATATATATATATATTTGTTATCATAATTATTATTAAATAAGACACTTAACAACATAGCAATTATGAGATGAAATTTGTTTAGTTTAATATTAAAAAAATTATTTTGTTATTTCCTCATAGYGTACGACACAAAATATAATMGACTTATTATTATTGAATTAATTAATTAATTAATTAATTAATGATTTATATGAAAAACTAATGTATTCATAGATTTATGTTTTAAACAAATAATAATCTAATAAAAATTTTATTTATATTTTCATTTGATTATTATATATATATAATTATTTATAGTTTTGTAAAATATAATACAGTATATGGCAATAAAATTAATTGCAAAAAAAGTTATTTTATAAATAAATATTTTTAAATATTGCAAAACATAATAATAATGTCTCCGAAAATTAAATCAAAATCAAAAACCAGTGATTATAATAATAAAATTAATAATAATAATAGTAATAATGTTTTAAAATACTATCAATGGTCGATATTTTTAACCTTATTTATTGGTTATGCATTTTATGCCTACAATCGCAAAAGTGTATCCCTGGCTATGCCGGAGCTCATGAGGAATGGCCTACAAAAAAGTGATGCAGGCATGTGTGTGCTAATACAACAAACTAAATAAATAAATCATTAATTAATATTTTATTATATCAATATTTTTTTTAAAAAAATAAATAAATAGTATTTAAGATATAATTATTATTTTCAAAGTTATATTTATTGCTAAACTGTAGTATAATTTTTATTGCCAAACATTTAATTTTTTTTATTTGTGCAATGAATTTATCTAATTTTTTTGCTGTAAATATGTATCAGATTTTTTTTTAAAAAATAAGATTTATTTTTTTAGTTAATTGTTATATATATATTTATATATATATATATATATATATATATATATATATATATACAGTAAAGTTTGTATAAACACTTATTACTAAATTTGTTAATTAGTTGTTTTTTTGATCAAAATAATCAAATTATTGAGAAATATTAATAAATTGATATAATATTTATTGATTATCATTGAAATTCCCAAATGATATAAAACAGTAATAATAATAATAATAATGAGTGATTGAGTTTCACTTTTATGATATAAAAATGTTTTTTAGCGATATTTRTGATATAATTTTATCAATTGTTTTTTGTGTGCACTTTAATGTATTATAACACAAAAATATCAATTTATTAGCAAAAAAAATGAGGTTAAAATTAATACTCAATTTATTTTCTATCACTATAATTGTTTAGTAATACAGTGTAATAATACAATTAGACAGACAAACAAACAAAATCATTATTTAAAGAAATTGCTAAAAAAATTGTTTMAACAAAAAAAATCCTTGAAATGTTGAGAAAAAAATATATTTAATCCGATTTTTTTAGACTATTTATTTATTTATTACACAATTATTTTTATTTTATCTCACATATACTATCACTTGTTATCTATTAATAAATAATAATACCCGTGAAACAAAAAATATATTAAATTATTAATAAGCTTATATATATACTTGTATATAAAATTTATATGAAATTTATATTTAAAAAAATAATCGATTTTGAATCATTTTTTTAGATCATTTTTATATACAAGCATTTATTATGTAATAACAACTTTCAGATTTTTAAAACCGGGTATTATTATTATTATTACTATTCAGGTATTATTATTATACAATAATAATAGCATATCAATTATAATTTTCACWAAATATTCAACTAATATCTGGCRATAAAAATTATACCAATATTTTTTTCAATGCTATTACAATTTGATTAAAATTTATTTAGAATATATATATATATATATATATATATATGCTATAGTAAATAAAACAATTTTCAAAAATAATTTAATATTTAATTAAATTATAATCAAWCGAATATATTATAACTTTAATTTACAAAAAAAAAAAACATTTTTCAAACATTTATWAATTTTTTTTAAAAATAATTTCTTTAATTAAAACTATTTATAAACATATTTTTTAGGACTCATAGTTAGCTCACAAAACATAGCCTACGCTATCAGCAAATTCATTGGTGGCGTACTATCCGATCGGCTGTCCTCACGTCTATTGTTTTCATCGGGACTCATATTGTCGGGTTTGGCTACACTTTTGTTCGCCAATTCGGACACAATCACCGTATTTACGGCCCTGTGGTTTGTCAATGGACTGGCCCAGGGATTCGGTTGGCCGGCCTGTGCCAAAGTATTGCGCCAATGGTTTGCGCCGTCACAGTTCGGCACCTTCTGGTCACTATTGTCGGCATCGGCCAACATATCGGGCGGTTTATCGCCATTTGTCGCGGCTTTTATCATATTGAATTACGGCTGGCGGGCCAGTCTACTGGCAGCCGGCACATTGTCCATCGGTATGGGCGCTATAGCTGCTGTTACTGTTGTCAATCGACCCGAAGATGCGGGACTTGAACCGGTTGTCGCTCAGCAAAGTAAAACTGACAACAAAACTAAAGGTATTATTCAATATTACGATAATTTTTTTTAAAAAAAGATCTCAAAAATACAATTTTAAAACTATTTGTCAGATAAAAACTCAGACAAACAAAGTTGGACAGACCTATTGAACAGTCCGTTTCTATGGCTGATCAGTGTGTCCTATATGAGTGTATTCGCTTCGAAGACCAGTGCCGTCGATTGGGGCCAAATGTATCTGATTGAGGACAGACATCACACACAATTGATAGGTATGTACTGTATTTCTCAGRTTGGGAAAGCCATGTAAACTATACTGTATTTCCCTAACTATTTCATTAACACACAMACAAACACACCGTTAGGCTCATCGTTTACCAGCAGTGTCGAGTCGGGCGGCTTTTTTGGCGGATCACTGGCCGGCTATCTGACCGATCTGATGCTTCGGCGGCATATATCTAAARCCAGTAGTAGTAGTAGTCAAAAGTCGCGGTCATCATCGTTGACGCCGTCCAACGCCCGAATGCCGATCGCCATTGCAATGATGACAGTCGTCGGCGTWTGTCTTCATTTGTTACAATTCTATGTCACCGAACAGTCGTCTCAGTTGATGATAACGTCGGTCGGCTTTGTATTAGGCGCCTGTCTGTACGGTCCGATTGCCATATTCGGTGTCGTAGCCTCTGAGTCAGCTCCGCAACATCTGAGCGGCACATCCCATGCCATCGTAGCTCTGGCCGCAAACGGTAATCTAAACTCTTTGTTTTAAAAATTATATTTTAATAATTGATTGTTTGTTTCTTTGTCGGGTCGGTTACGACACACACACACACACACAGTCGGTGCYATTGTTTCGGGTCTACCGTTCAGTCTATTAGCCAAACATTATAACTGGTCGGCAATATTCTTCTTACTCGAAATTYTAACTTTTTTCACTGTCTTATTGATGATCGTCGGCCGTAATATACCCGCAAGTATTGGTAAACATAGTAAACAATTATAAAAATTAKATTTTTTTTAAATAAAAAAAWAATGTKTTTCTAATTTCAATATAACATCCCTTAGACAGTACTGTATAAACACATTATATTTTAGATCAATTGAAACAAATTGTTTTTTTAAAAATTAATAATTTATTTTATAAGTTATGGATTTTTAAATACTTTTTATAATTAGTGTTTTAATATAACAAATTCCCATGACATATTTCGACAATAATTGWACAAAATGTATCYTGTTACAATTACCATRWTATAATTAGTCTAAATAATATTATATTGTGAATTTATTTTATTTTTTTTTTTGTTGAAAAATAATTTCTCAATTAATAGAATGTTTAGTTATTTTTTAGTTTAAAAATATTAATTTTTTTAATTGTTAATTATGGTAATAGTTTTTTTATATAAAAAAATCACTATAAATATCTAGACTCTAGTTACTAAAAAAATACAACAAAAATTATTAAAAACTACTATAAAAAATCAATTTTTATTTTATTTTTTGGGAATGACTACATTGTTGTTGTTTTTTTTTATTAATTAATTACTGTTTTAATTAATACTAAACCGTATTTACAGCTATAAGTTATATATAATATAGTATACATTATATAATTATATAACATATATATTTGACAAATTTAACAAATATATTCATAATACTGTTCATAACTGTTTAAAACTATTTTTCTTTGTCAACATTATTATTATTTWWWAAAAAAATAATAGAGTATTTTGCAAAATTAAAATAAAATTRTTAACTTWAAAATTAAAAACATATATTATATTATTATACGGTAATTATATTAAGGTAAATCTAAAACAAACAAACAAACAAACAAACAAATTAAATAAATAAAAATTACTTGTATAACACTATTAGAAATAATAATAATAATTAATAAAATTATAAAATCAACCGCTCCTTGAGTGGTAATACAGGTAATTGTGAGACACACACACACACAMAAATTATCTTGATAATTTTGTACCCATAAGTTAAAAATTATTTTTTTAAAAAAACATATCAAAAAATGTCATGTATTATATACGGTAAGCATACCGCAAAAAAATATATATATATATAAAAGCTCCTAAAAATATAATACAAAATAATTACCAACTGTTTTTTTTGAGATAAACATACGGAAAAAATTACTTTAAAAATAATTTTTTTTGTTTTGTTTTAAAAATACTAATAAAATTTAAAACTCAATAAACTCTTTATATCGCATAAAATCGGCGATTAGTTGCGGTATGAGATCCGTCCTAAACAATCGCAATACGTAGTCATTCAAATTGGTTGACTCGCGGCGCCGATAGTATATACGAATCAAATGTTTCAGTGGAAGTGGTCGACAAAAGTATTGATTAACTCTTAGAAATTCATCTAAATTCGGATATTTGTCCAATACTTTTGACACTTTGTACATATCATCGCTGTATAGCTTGTCGTCATCGGAACAGTTGACAACCACCGATGATTGGTTGTGACTATTGATATGATTAACATTAATATTATTATTATTGGACCAACTATTGTGATGATCAATGAGACTCTTTTTGAAATCAAATCCATAGAGTAGTAGCAATCGTAGCGAATCCGTGTCCAATTCGTTGAGCACATCGGGTTTCAGTCGGCGATCAAAATCGGCAAAATTGCCGCTAATTAACAACATTATCACAAATTTRCGACAATTRTCGCGCTTGACATCGCCAGTAGTGTCAATACGCTTGAGTCGCGATACGGCTCGTCCGCACCAATAGTCCGGYAATTCTCTGAATACAACTGACCGCCGAAATTCAGATTTTTGWACTAAAAACCAGATGTACTGAAACTGCCARTCAATACGCGAGTCGATTGAACACAATTTGATGGCCACATTGTGTACGAGTAGTTTCATAATGTTATCGTACTTTTCATTGATGGTAAAGTCTGCGCCCAAACGTATTAAATCGTCGGTAATCATACGGGCATCGGCCAGTTGGCCACGAAATCGACTAAGCGTTTGTACAAATTTCATCAATAGGTTGATCCGTATGCGAAAAACAAGATTATGACTGTCGTCGACAAAACTGTGTAAAACTGTTACSGATTTTAGTGATCCGGCAAACAGTTTCAACGATCGTACGGCCAGTGCTGGTCGCCGATTGAATATCTCRTCGTAGATCAGTTCGCTGAGTTCGGCATCGGGCGAGCGGTCAAACATTTGGTGTATGTCTTCAATGGTCATCCGATTCATTACAACATCAACGATGTGGCCGTCGGCCAACAGTCGGTCCATTATTATTAYTATTATTATGATATATCCTATCGATCAGCTGTTTTGCGKTCAAACAKTAATGATAATATAGTGGTCACACWATTGACTGYCAGACCCGATCGGTTGACAATAATTTGAAATAAATAATATTATAATTGTTTTGTTTTGTTATTTATTTATATTTTTTTAAACATTTGTTTCAATATATTGTTTRGTATTTATTATTATTTATTTATWACGAGAGAGAGAGAGAGAGAGGACCAACTCATAAACACTATTACAAATAAWATACAATATTAARTGCTCCCCCATTCCAAATATATAATTTATACATTCATTATACCCAATATTGTTTATCTAAGTTGACACACCCATAGATTTGTCCCCCGATTGACAATAATATGTATATAACTATTACGTTAGTTCTMTGTAAYGTTGTTTTTGAAATGAAGAGTGTATGAAACATGTTTAATGATTAGTACCAATAGATGCCGTATAGTGTCGACCAATCAGTGATCACTATTGATAGCCAATCGGAACGCGTTTCGAAACTTTTCTATTAATTTTTTTAGTCAACTCTTAATCATTAATGAATTAATTGTTTTTRTTTTTTTCGGTCAAACAATCAATGAATCAATTAATGAAAAAGTGGTCAAAAAAMTAAGTTTATTTCATYCGCCGATTAATTCACACAACTGGACACCAAAACCGCGACCGATGGCCACCAACGAAAAAAAGAYCGAACGAATCGTTTACATTGATTTGGACGCCGAGTCCGAGCCCGAGGACAATAACGATGATCACTGCCGACTGGTCATCGACGAAGAGGCCACTAGCGATGACTTTCGGCAAACGTTTGGTTTGGCCATCGATGAGATGCCATTGTCGTCGGCGTCCGACAACGATCTGTACATTGAAGAACTGTCGTCAATGGCCTACCAGAACGTGATGGGCATCGGCGGCGACGGTAACGGCACTGACTTTACCGTTACAGACATGGACTGGGAACTGATCGACGACTTTCTTATCGATGAATTTGTTGAATACTATCTTCTAGACTATGAAGTACTCAAAACAGTGTCCGAAGCATTGGATCAAGTGATAGATGATTGAAATTATTTTTGTTTTTTATAAATTAAAATTAATTRTTTTTGTTTTTTTAATGACAATAATTGTTAATTAATTGTGATTTTAAATATTTATTGTTTTTCTTATAATTACCGGTATTTTTGTTGTTGTTTTGGTTCATTTATTTCATTAACTATTATAATATTTAATTTAAATTTTCTTTAAAAAAATGAATTTTGTTAGATTTTAGTGTTTTTATAATTATTATTATTACTAAAAAWAATAATAATATAAAGTTTATAAAACTTTTTTTGTTTTGTTTATTATTTATTTCACACTATTTTCATGCGCTATTATTTTTTAAGTGTAAATAYATGTAAAATATAAAAATATTTATTAAAATAMAATAATGTTTTTTTTTGTCATTAATTTAGTTATTTATTATATTAATTGATTTAATTCATTAATTTTTTATTATTATTAATATTATAATATTTCAAAAGAAATAATTTTTTTTTTTTATAGATTTTCAAATATAATAGTATTTAATATTTCAAAATTGGCGCAAATAGTTTGGTTTTACAGTAATAATTATATGGCAAACAATTGGGACACATAAACGTTAGTGTATGTTGAGCTTAACAATACATAGAAAAAGTACTAAATGTTCGACAGATAATTTGTTATCATTATAGAGTACATAAGTTATATATAAAATAGAGAACAAACAAACATAAAAAAGGCCAAAATCATCAACTGTTTGTTTGAAACCAATGTATGTATATATGGTATGTGTGTTTTAGGCTAATCGTATTGATTGAGCGATAAAAAAAAATGGTTTATTATATCACTACCACTACTACTACTACTACAGTATTACACATAGAAAAACACATAGAGTTTAATGTAATGTAAATGTAATAAACATTTTGTGTTAAATAGTTTATATGATAGTATACTGTGGTATATATAATATCATTGTGTGTTAACTCAAATGTAAACAACCGTTTGTTTTAAAAAATTWAAAAATAATTGTTATTTTTTAATAGAAGATATCAATTGTTTTATTTGTGTGTTTTGTTGGGCAATGTTTGCCACAGATTTATTGGTCGCCGAAGACATTGATTATTATTATCAACGGAAGACAGATTCATAGGAACCGATAGAGAGAGAGAGAGAGAAAGAGAGGACAACAGTGTGACGGACTGTGAGTGAGTGAGTGTATCGCTAGAGTGWGTGAGAGAGAGAGCGAGAGAGAGAGAGAGAGAGTCACGGTTAGGACACAGACCTACTTGTAGTGGTGGATGTGTTTAAAGTGATTGTCGATTATCTACTAAAAGGTGTGTCCACTACTGCTACTACTAGAGCCACTGTCGCCRCTCCCGTTACCGCCACTAATACCGCCACTGTTACCGCCGCYGCCGCCACTKCAACGACAGCAGCCGCAGCCGCCGCCGCCACGACCGCTGTACTAACAACGGCCAGTGATTACTATTATCGATATCCAMCYAATTGTTATAGTGTTACCGCTGCTGCCACAACCGCCGCCGCCGTCATCCAATCAACCGATGTGCGTGCAATGACCTCACGGGCGACCGACTCCTGTGGTCACGCGTCGTCAACAGCCATATTGCGCGAAGAGAACAATCATTTGAAATCGGATTTAAAAACATTTAAACAATTGTTTTATTTGTTTAGTGAACGACACGCCGAGTGTGTTAAATATATTAAGACACTGAAGACAGTTAACCAACGATTATTGAAACGTTTGCCACACGAAGACAATACATTGAACCGATTGGAAGAGATCAACTGCGAGAACCAGTTGCTTAAGTTTGATAAACAGATTGACACCGTTCAGCAACAGTTGATTATGAATAAGAGTGTCCACAGTAGGTGTCCATTGATTTATATCCTTAATATTTTTGATATTTTCCGGTCATTTGAATTTTTTTAATTAACTATTAATTAATTAGTTATTATTATTATTATTATTAATCAACTGATGATTTTCTTTTTCCCCCAAAATAAAAATATATAAATTGGTGACCAGTTATGAGTGTCCGGTTTTTATGTGATATATATRTATATATAGTATCTATTAATCTTTTTTTTAGCTGATCTTTCAATTGATTATTTTTTTTGGTGATCAGTTTAACACTGTCTTTCAAATCACTTTCTTCACACACCATACGATCCAATTGGTGACCTGTTATGAGTGCCTTTAATTTTATAATTGATGTGATAATAATAATAGTATATAAATATATTTAAAATAAGTGTTTTATTTATTACTGATTATATTGTTTGTTGTTGTTGTTGWTGWTGTTGTCTTTTAAAGTTAAGATAATACTTGATTGCATGTATTTCTAGCCCAAACAAGCGGACAACTGTTGGACAAAGCAATACACAGGTGTATTACCGGTAAATTACCGGCGGACGGCACCAGCAATAGCCACCAGCATCACAGTGCACCTCCTCCGCCGCCAAACGGCAAATATCGGTGCGAATACTTTGGCTGCAATCAGTGGTTTGCCCGAAAAGACCTGATGGACAGTCATCTGAGATTACATACKTCAATGCAGGAGGCGATAGCCTACGACCAGAATGATCAACAAAACGCTGGCCAACGTATCAATGAAATCATATTTGTGCCACAAATGGAGTTGGAGGTCATTGAGTATAATAACAATAATAATAACGGCACTCATAACGGTAACTACCAGTTTMTCCCCCGTCCCCCTCTCCCACCCAATCCCATCAACAATGTATTCCCACCCCCTTTTCCATATCACTATTGAGTGGTCAATCAATTGGTACACCAATTAATATGTTRCCATTTARTTTTTAGTTACCAAATATTATTATTAACTCAAAGATTTTTAGTTATTTTTTTTATTGTTGTTGTTGTTATAGAKATAATTATCGGTAATGTTTGAATACCCGATATAATTGAGTTGATTGACCACAAAATGACTTATTAAATTTTTATTAATTGTTTTTTTTAAGAAAATTTATAACAAAACTAATGATATATATATAATCCATAYAATTAATGATAAAAAAATTTTAATCAATTTTTCCTCCCATTCCTMTCTCTCTCTCTCTCTCTCTCTCTCTCTCTCTCTCTCTATCTATCTATCTATTTATTTCACAACTGTTTCCAATTTACAGAATCTCTGTCGTACACAAACAGTACATCCAATGACAGCAATAGTCACAATCGTAACGGCAATAACAGCGCCAACAAAGCACAGATTGCGTGCGACATATGCGGCAAAAATTTTAGCAAACAGTACATCCAATCGCACCGCCGCTCGCATACGGGTGTCAAACCATACAAGTGTTCGTACACTGGTTGCGAACGTACGTTCACACAGTCTTCATCGCGAAACTATCACGAAAAGACTTACCACCGAATAGACAAATATCCGCTAAAATGCTATTATAGTAACTGCGAAAAGTCGTTCAGTCGTCAAATCGATCTCCAGAAGCATCTGACGCATCAYAACGGCGGCTCCGGTAATAGCGGTGGCGGAATGTTGCCGTTCAGTGCCAGTTCGCTGATCGCTCCGACCGTCAGTGACCAGCAATTGAAACGTCACACCACTCGACGACTGCGACGAGTGCCGCACCGGTCCGGCAAACATGGCTGTCCTCATTGCGGTTAGTATTTCATACGATTTCTATCGGTAGACAGTTATCTTTAATTAACTCATTTCCCCCTCAAAAAAACAGGTAAAACCTTTGCACATAAGGTTGCCCTCAGACAGCATGAGGTGATCCACGGAAGCAAACAGTTTGTCTGTCATTTTCCTGAGTGTCAATACGCCTCCTACTGGAAGCAGAATCTATCGCTACATTTGCGAAGACATCACAACCAACTGCACGACTAACAACAACAACAACACTTCCTAATACATAGCATACATACCATACCTAAACAACACAACAAACCATTATAAGTATATTATTATTATTATTATTACAAAAGAGATTTGTTTTTACCGTAAAATTACACATTTTTTAAAATTATAATATAATATACTATAGTACCGAAAAAAACAATTCAATTTTGTTAATTCATTAATAAGCATTACATTATAAAAAAAATATTTATCACAAAAAAATGATATGCGATATTACAAATTTGCAATTAATATATTAACTTAACGTATATTATATTATTTAGTTATTGTTTAATTTTCACACATTATTATTCTTATTMTTATTATTATTATAAATAATTAATTAATTTGATTATTATTAATTGTATCGACATTTTTTTTGACATACATTAGATATTATAAATATTGTAATAAAAAAATAATAATAATAATGATAACAATGATTGCAATTTTTTTGTAAAACTCTAGGATTATTACATTGATTACAAAAAAAGACTTAACATTGTATAACATATACAGTATATAAATATATAATACATTATTATATAATGTCTATGTCTCTCAATATATTATAACATTATATATATTTACAAAATGAGAAAAACAAACAAACAAATTGAAATTATTTAATATATATAATATTATCGTTTATTTAGTTTTTAGTTTGCAAAATGTATATTTAAAAATATATTTATATATATTGAATGATTTATTATTATCATTATATGTGTGGTATTTATATATATTGTCCATTTAATTATTATTAGTAAAAAAATATATGTTTTGTTTTTTTTGCAAAAAACTTATTTATAAAACATTATTATTATTATTATGCTAACTAATTATAGTACCTATGATRATAATAATAATAATAATAAAAACACACACACAAATAATATTTGTTTTAATTTCATAAATCAATGTATAATTTATATATAACTTATGTAATGCCAAAACAATTTATGTAAACATTTTTAAAAATATATTTATGACGACTATTATTGCATTTATTATATATATAAATATTATGATAATTAGTGTAATTTATTGTGAATATTATTATTATATTACTAATTGTTTTATATTTTATGATATAATATATATATATATATATATATATTATATCATATATTTATAACAAGCAAACAAACAAAAAACTTTTAAAATATTTATTTAAATAATTTGATAGTAAAAACAATTGTAACCAAAATTTTTTATATTACATATTATTATTATTATTATTGAAAAAATAGTAGGAATGGGATTTATAAAAAATAAACAAACAAAACACACATAAAAAACAATATTAATTATTATTATTATTAATATATGTAGACTTGAGCTTTGATTATATTATCGATTATTTAATAAATAAAATTATCACTCAATTCAAAAAAATGATTTTCCAAAATTGATTTATTATCACATTTTTATTATAAAAAACAAACAAACAAAACATTTAAAATGTAATCATATTTATTAAAATAATAAAAATAAAATAAATTGGATAAAAAATAATTGTTTTCTAAATATTAAAGTATCAATAAATTTAATTAATTAATTAATTGGTTTAATATTTSAATAAAAATAATGTTTTGGTTTGTAATGTCCGGTAAATTAATGATAGATTTTTTTCGTGTCCTAATTTTTACGTCTATTAATTTATATTAATAATAATTAAAATAAATAAACAACTATATAGTTTTAAACAATTATATATATATATATATATTTATTTATTTAAAAAAATACCTTTTTATTAATTATTAAAAATAAAAAATATTAGTTTTTAAATTTTCGATAACATCTATGATATCATTGATAACTGTTATTGACTTTTGTATCATAAATAGTAAATCGTTTAGTGTTTCGTTAATATAATGACGCGAATCAATGATAGTCTGAGACCAGTCTAATAGTAATATTAATATTATATATATATATATATAAAAAATAAATAAATAAATAAAAACAAATATATTTATTTAAGAAAATAAATATTTATAAATAAATAATTTTTACTATACCATTGTTTTGTGTAATTGGTTTGCTTAATACGGAAAAAAATAATAAATATCAAAAATATTAATAATTAGATTCATATTTATTTATTTATTTATAATAATAATAATGAATTAAATATATATTAACTATATATATTATAGTAAATAATAATTTACTATTAACTATATGAAAATTTTTAGCAAAAAAAAGTATATTTAATATTTACCTATTAATAATTGATTTTAAATAATTTCCATTTATAAATGTTTTATCAAACAGTATTTGATTTGATATGATATCTAATTTAAAAATGAAATAAAATTTATTAATTCATTATTAATATTCAAATTTAATTATTTTACAGTTATATTACAAGTTATAAAAATTATTAATTTTAATAATTAATACAAACCTTTGTCGTTGAAATTTTTTTCACTTTTCAGATCATATTTTGATAAACAAACATTCATTTGTATTAARTTAAAAATTAATCYAAAAAACATATATTTATAAATCATTTTATTAATTATAATATTCATAAATCCTAATAATTAGAAACTAATATTTAAAAATAWTTTGATTTTATTTTAAAATTTTATATTTCAATTTAATGTAAATGTTTTAATATATATTCAGTATATATATATATWTATAAACTTTTCTAAATATCATTTAGTTTATTATATTATAMCTGTTTTAATGATTTATTTATATACTGTATTTAACTTTAATATTAGTGTTTTTAATTTTCTAGATTACCTGTAGATATATAGTGTATTATAAAATACTTTAAAATCTTTTAAAATATAAATACTATAGTAATATACCATGGGTATTTTAAGTGAAATTATTTGTCTAATTATCATCAACTAGGTAAAGTTAATTAAATCTGAATTTATTTATTTTATAGATTTAAAAATTTATTATTTTTATTAAATATTTTGTTAACTTATGTATAACAATTTTTTTTCTTATTTATACTAAATTAATGTATAAATTATTATTAATGATTAAATATAGTTAAAAAACAAATAGCTAAACATTTTTGATATATAATATGATATTAATTAAAATTTGCAATTAATATATTAAATTGAATGTATATTATATTATTTAGCTATTGTTTAATTTTCACACATATAATAATAATAATAATAAATAATTAATTAATTTGTTTATTATTAATTGTATCGATTTTTTTTGGCCATACATTAGATATTAWAAATATTTTATCAAATAAAGTTATYACTCAATTCAATTACTAAATAATTTTATAAATTTATTTCATGTTTAAAAAAAATAATAATAAATACAGTAAATATAAAAATGTTGTATAAAAGTAAAAATATTATTACTGTATTTAAAAAGTGAAAATAAATTAATTAAATATAAATTCAATAATTTCCGGTAAGGCATCAACAAAGATATATAAGCCTTCAATTGCTTCAACCATTGTTTTTATAATATTTAAATTTTCTTTCATTTTGTTGCCAATGTATTTAAAATGTTTTACAAAAAACTTAGTCCAGGAGTTTTCATCTAATATTAAATAGAATWTTTAATTAWAAAAAATGTGAGAAATTATATAAATATTTTAAAAAAATATATTTTTTTTTGTCAATATTTATGATAATTTTATTATCTTTTTAATAAAATATTTAAAATATTAGATTAATAAATTAGGTAAAAATTTTAAAAATTTATTAATAACTACATAATAATAGCGTTTATTTAGTTTATGCAAAACTATTTTTATTTAATACACACTAAAAAATGATTTTATTAATTGATATGTATTTAATAAATACTAATAATTAAAGTATTAATTAACTTTTTAGTCAATAAAAATATTTAAAACTTTTTATTATTTTATTCTAAAATAAATCTATAATTCATTTCCAAATATTCCATCTCCTATTTCTAAAATATTATTTATAATTATCATTATTCGGCTAAAATAATAGACAATATTATCATAAATAGTGACAATTTGTTGCAAATAATCGCGGATTGATTTAAACCAAGTGTTTTTGTCTAATTATTAAAAAATATTATTACTATTATAACTAGTAGTTTAGTTATTAATATTATAATATATAATAAATTTAAAAAAATATATAAATACCATTTGATTGATTTGTTGGTGCACTAAATGCCACGATTGCGGTCAAAATTTTTATAATAAAAACAATATAAAAATATATGAAATTARTTTTATAATTAAAAATTTAATGATTATGAGAAATGATTTGTAAAAATAAATAAAATATAAAATTTATAATTYTATTTCTTTWTATAGTAAAAAATTTAGGGGAAAAATAAATTATAAATACCTATTAATAGTAGATTTAAAATAATTTCCATTAWTTTTTGTTTTATGAGWAGATATTTCGTTTGATATAATATCTAAGTTAAAGAAAATTACAAAATATTAWTAAATTTTTATTATACAKTAAATTATATATTAATATAAAACAATACAAACCCSTGTCTTCTAAAAATGTTTCACTTTTTAGAGCATATTTTGAAATACAAACATTTGTTTGTATTAAATAACTAAATAGTATTAAAWATATATAATATTGAGAAATCATATTATAAAAAATATACTTTATTATTATTATTATTATATTATCAATAATAATATTAGTGTACAATAATAAATGTATATTAAAAGTTAAAATAAATTATTTGTTTGATTTTATATATCGATGTAAATATATTATTAAAAATATTGTAAACTTTATTAGTATATTTATAGTATACAGTATTATATTATACCTGTTTGTGTGATATATGTATTTATTTATTTAACTTAAATATTAGTTTTTAATTTATTTTTATATTATCTGTTTATGTATAGTATATACAATATATAAGTTTTGACATTTTATATTTAAATAGACAAATATATAAAGATCTTAAGATATATAAAATTTTTAATAATTTATATTAGTAAATTATAATATTATTTTAATGTAAATATACAATAATTTTAAGTACTATTTATTTTTAAACTACATTACTATATATGATTTTAATACTAATTATAATTATTTATTTTC